TTATAGGTCTGAATGCAGTAGGGGTTGGGTGGGGGCGAGAGGGGAGGACAGGAAGATCCCATTCCAGCCCAACCAGGGGATGGGAAAGCAGTGGCTCTGGGTGACAGGGTTTACCTCCAGCCACCAGAGCGGACAGCAGCAGGCTCCTAATCATGGTGTGTCCGTGGGAGTTCTGTCTGCGTGGCCCTAGAGAAGGCCCTGGTTTTATGAGGAACTTATCAGTGAGAGATACACTGGGAGCACGCAAGATGGGGATTTTCTCAAAGCCCAGTGGAAAAAAGAGCTTGTGTCCAAATATTTTTTTTCCCATTTGCTCCCAGCTGTCACCCTAGAAGTACTTTGAAAAACATGCCAAAGGTAGATATTGGGATATGGGTTCCATCTGTTTTGAAGAGATTATGTTGTGTGTTAGGGAAGGAAGAAAAATACTAATTGTTGGTCCTTGGAGTCGTGTTTTCTATTTTTCCTTTTTTTCCTCTCTGGGTAGGACTGAGGAAAGGAGTTGTGTTTTCTTTCTTTTTCTTTTTCTTTCTTTTTTTTTTTTTTTTTCCTGAGACGGAGTTTGTCTGTCACCCAGGCTGGAGTGCAGTGGCCTGATCTCCGCACACTGCAAGCTCCACCTCCTCCCGAGTTAATGCAATTCTCCTGCCTCAGCCTACCTAGAAGTGGGGACTACAGGCGCCCACCACCACGCCCGGCTAATTTTTTTTTGTATTTTCAGTAGAGACGGGGTTTCAGAGTGTTCGCCAAGATGGTCTCGATCTCCTGACCTCGTGATCTGCCCGCATCAACCTCCCAAAGTGCTGGGATTACAGGCGTGAGCCACGGCGCCCGGCCTAATTTTGGTATTTTTAGTAGACACAGGGGTCTCATCGTGTGGGCCAGGCTGGTCTCAAACTCCTGTGCTCAAGTGATCTGCTCACCTTGGCGTCCCAAAGTGCTGGGATTCCAGGCTGAGCCACCGCGCCTGGCCAGGAGTTGTGTTTTCAATGAAAAGATGAAGGCGGCATGCTGAACCCACAGCGTTCTAAGGCAGTATTTCTCAGTGGGGCTGGTTCAGTCACCAGGAGACGTTTGACAACATCTGGAGACATTGTTGGTGTCATGGCTGGGGTTGATGTGATTGGCATCCAGCGGGCAGACAGCAGAGATGCTGCTAAACATCTGACAATGCCCTGGGCAACAGGACGTGCCCTGGATGTCACTGGTGCTGAGGCTGAGAAAGCCTGTTCTAGGCCACGCCAGGGCTTGCAGTGTGACCTTGGCTGGGTCATGTAAGCCTATAGACCCATCTGTGGAACAGGGAGAGAAACCTGTGCCCAGCGTGTTTCACAACATTACGGTAAGGATTTGTGTAATGTGGGGAAGGTGCACACGTAGCAGAAGGCGAGGCCGACATGCACAATTAGGATCCGGCTGCTCTAATGATGGGGGAAGCAGAATGCAGGTGGAGGAGGGCTTCATCTGGTGGATCAAAATGCACTTTATGGCCAGGCACAGTGGTTCACTCCTATAATCCCAGAACTTTGGGAGGCTGATGCGGGCAGACCACCTGAAGCCAGGAGTTCAAGACCAGCCTGGCCAACATGGTAAAACCCCGTCTCTACTAAAAATACAAAAATTAGTCCGGTGTGGTCCTGCATGCCTGTATTCCCAGCTATTCAGGAGGCTGAGGCAGGAGAATCTCTTGAACCTTGGAGGTGGAGGTTGCAGTGAGCTGAGATCACACCACTGCACTCTAGTCTGGGCAACAGAACAAAACTCCATCTCGAGAAAAAAAACCAAACAAAACAAAACAAAACAAAACAGACCAGCCTGGACAACATAGTGAGACCACCTGTCCCTACAAAAATTTTTTTTAGAAAGTTAGCCGGGCGTGGTGGCACACATATGTGGCTCCAGCTACTCTGGAGGCTAGGCTGAGGCAGAGGGTCACTTGAGCCTGGGTGGCAATGGCTGCAGTAAGCTGCAATGGATCCACCACAGCCTGGGTGGCAGATGCGTTTTATTGTCCTCTTCCAAGAGAACAGCAGTGTGCACTTCTCCAATAACGTCATCTTCCAAATGGGGTCAAGTCAGAAGCTTCTTCAAAAGGGAACAAACAAACAAAGGCAGGGTGACACTCACCCAGCACCACACAGATGTTAGATGCACTCACATTCCTTATTGAATCCAAGCCACAAAAAACCCTGCAAGAGCCTCTCTTATTTCACAGGAGGAAGCTGAGCTTCAGAGAGGTAAAGTGACTTGCCCAAGATCCTACAGCTTCTAAGCGGCAGAATGGGAATTGGAACTAGGTTGGTCTGATTCCAAAGCCCAGCACTTTGGGAAGCCGAGGAGGGCGAACACGAGGTCAGGAGTTCAAGACCAGCCTGGCCAATATGGTGTAACCCCGTCTCTAATAAAATACATAGATAAGCTGGGTGTGGTGGCCGGAGGTGAGCATCCTGCCTCACCTCCTAGGAGTTCAACTTGTGTTGGGGGAAGCGTGGAGTGAGCAAGGTTTCCTGGTGGACTTTCTTGTTCTTCCTTAGACCTTCACTCTCCTCACCTTTTGGGAGAGCACAAAGCCAGGCAGGCCCACTGCTGATGAGAAAGCTCTGCTCTGTGACCACAAACTCTAGTTTTTGCCCCAGTCAAAAAAGCAGAAAGGAAAATGAAGTTCAACTATTTTATTTTGTGTGTGTGTGAGATGGAGTCTCTCTCTGTCAACCAGTGGCATGATCTGTGCTCACTGCAACCTCCAACTACCCGGTTCAAGCAATTCTCATGCATCAGCCTCCCCAGTAGCTGGGATGACAGCTGCATGCCACCATGCCTGGCTAATTTTTGTATTTTTAATAGAGATGGGGTTTTGCCATGTTGACCAGGCTTGTTTTGAACTCCTGATCTCAGGTGATCCACCTGCCTCGTCCTCCGAAAGAGTTGGGATTACAGGCCTGAGTCATTGTGCCTGGGAAGATTTCAACTCTTAAGACTTGAGTTCAAGGCCTGGCGTGGTGGCTTAAGCCTGTAATCCCAGCACTTTGGGAGTCCGAGGCAGGCGGATCACGAGGTCAGCAGATCGAGACCATCCTGGCTAACACGGTGAAACCTCGTCTCTACTAAAAATACAAAAAAATTAGCTGGCCAAGGTGGCGGGCACCTGTAGTCCCAGCTACTTGAGAAGCTGAGGCAGGAGAACTGCATGAACCCAAGAGGCGGAGCTTGTAGTGAGCTGAGATCGCACCACTGCACTCCAGCGTGAGCGACAGAGCGAAACTCCGTCTCAAAAAAAAAAGAGAGACTTGAGTTCAAGTGTTTTTTTTTTTTTTTTTCTTGAGACGGAGTCTTGCTCTGTCATGTAGGCTGGAGTGTAGTGGTGCGATCTCGGCTCACCTGCAACCTGTGCCTCCCAGGTTCAAGTGATTCTTCTGCCTCAGCCTCCCGAGTAGCTGGGACTGCAGGCACCGGCCACCACGCCCAGCTTATCTGTGTATTTTATTAGAGACGGGGTTTCACCATATTGGCCAGGCTGGTCTTGAACTCCTGACCTCGTGTTCGCCCGCCTCAGCCTCCCAAAGTGCTGAGATTACAGGTGTGAGCCACCGTGCCCAGTCGAGTTCAAGTCTTTGATTCATCACCACATTGGCCAGGCTGGTCTTGAACTCCTGTCCTCGTGTTCCCCGGCCTTGGCCTCTGAAAGTGCTGGGATTACAGGCGTGAGCCACCGTGCCCAGCCGAGTTGAAGTCTTTGATCCATCAGTTTTGAGTGTGGTGGTCTGGCCAAGTCACTTATCTTCTGTGCCTTAGTTTACTAGATAACCATCCAGGCCTGGATTGCAGGATAGTTGCATGGGTAAGAAAATGGGTGGGAAAGAATTCTGTAATCTCCCTAGGATCATGCAAAGGTGAGGAAGATTGGGTGGGGGTGCGGGGGCAGAATCCCGTGGGACTGGATGTCAGAAGACGTGGGTTCCAGTCCCAACTCCATCCCATACTCCCTGTAACAGTTTGGACTCATTTATGGTCTTCATCAGTCACTACAGCAAGCAACTATTTCTTAATTCCCATATTTTATCTTAAAGGGTCATGTGAATTCATCATTCTGTTCTGTATCTTTGTTTGTTTTAATACAAAAATAAAGTTTGTCCTATATGAGAACACTGAACAAACACCTGCTGTGAATTTGCTGTGTGACCTTGGGTCTATCCCACAGGCTTTCTGGCCTGGGGTGCCTAGCTACAAACAGGAAGAGGAACAAGTCGTGTAACCTCTCTGATTGGACCTGCCTCAGGTCATATGCCCATCCCTGAGCCAATCGCTGTGGTGGGGGAAGGGGATGCAATGTGTTGATTGGCCAGGCCTGGAGCACTGGCTCCAGCCTTGGTCCTGGCCATGAGGTTTCACCCAGAACCTCCGGGATCCGGTGGGGCAGCGCCTGCACAGAAATCCAGCTTAGTGTTCCATTTATATGTTGTTTGACAATAATGTCATGTGTCAGGTTGTAAAGTGGGCTGGGTCCTTGAGGTCTCAGTCGGGCAGGGAGACTCAGATGCAAAATTCTTTTCCTTTTTTTTTTTTGAGACAGGGTCTCACTGTCGCCCAGGCTAGAGTGCGATGACACGATCGTGGCTCACTGCAGTCTCTACCTCCAGGGCTCAAGTGATCCTCCCACCTCAGCCTCCTGAGTAGCTGGGACTACAGGTGCGTACCACCTCGCCCATTTGCTTTTTGTATTTTTAGTAGAGACAGGGTTGTGCCATGTTACTCAGGCTGGTCTTGAATTCCTGGACTGGAGCGATCTGCCTGCCTTGGCCTCCCAAAGTGCTAAGTGCTGGGATTACAGGGCTGTGCCACTGTGCCCAGCCTACTCATGGTTTTTAGGGCCCTGGATGTTAGGATGGATTGCTAATAAATCTCTCATCAACATGTGATTTGCATAGTTGTCACTTTATTATAATATTAATTTCCTTCTGTGACCTTTCCAAGTCTGAAACAGTCCCGGGGACCTCTTTTGGTTAGTTATTTGCAATCACCTGTAGGACACACATGAAAATCGTCAGGTTCAACTAACCGCAGAGCTGTGCGTGGCAGTTTCTTGTCTGTCCTCCTGGGCTAAGCTCCTCATGTGAGTCACAGGCAGCCCACACTGCACTAGCTCCTGCCTGAGGAGTTCTGATGACGTTTTGAAAAGAAAGATGCAATCACAGGTTTTCATTGACCTGTTAGGGTCTTCCTGTAAAGGGGGTCTTACCAGGAGTCCTATGTGGGCTTACCAGGAGTCCTATGTGGCCTTTGAACCCCTAAAAGTTGTATTCCAAATGTGTGGATGGCATATTTTTAGATTTCATTTGTTTTTCAAATCAAAACTGCTATTTGCAAGGCAGTTATGCAATGTGGTTGGTGCTGTAACTGTTTCCAGAGGCTGTTGATCAGTGTCTGTTAAACTTTTTTTTTTTTTTTTTTTTTGAGACAGTCTTACTGTGTTTCCCAGGCTGGAGTGCAGTGGGGCGATCTGGGCTCACTGTAACCTCCGCCACACAGGTTCAAGTGATTCTCGTGCATCAGACTCCCGGGTAGCTGAGATTATAGTCATGCACCACCACGCCCGGCTAATTTTTGTATTTTTGGTAGAGACAAGGTTCACCCTATTGGCCAGGCTGGTCTCGAACTGCTGACCTGAAGTGATCTACCCGGCTCAGCTTCCCAAAGTCCTTGGATTACAGGCGTGAACCACCACACCCGGCCTGTTAAACATTTTGATATGCCAACTTCATGATCCAGTGCTGTAAACAGCAGGAGATCCAGCTGCTACAGCACAAACACTCAGACCAGTGTGCAAGAATTATGTTCAGGGATGTTCACTGCACAATGTAAGAGTGAAAAATAGGAAACATGAGAGCTTCATTCATTATACTCAAACTATGGAATACTATTTAGCTGTTCAAAAGAATGACATGTACGTACTGACATATAAAATGTGATAAGGTGTTAAGTGAAAAACAGCTGCAGAACAGCATGAAGACTCAGATCCTATTTTTGCTCAGAAGACAGTGTCGCTCTCTTTATATATATAGATACATATGCACATAACGTTGAGAAGACCACACACCAAGCTTTTAACAATCATTGGTGGGGCGCGGTGGCTCACGCTTGTAATCCCAGCACATTGGGAGGCCAAGATGGGCAGATCACCTGAGGTCAGGAGTTTGAGACCAGCCTGGCCAACATGGTGAAACCCCATCTCTACTAAAAATACAAAAATGACCTGGGCATGTTGGTGCATGCCTGTAATCCCAGCTAGTTAGGAGGCTGAGGCAGGAGAATTGCTTGAACCTGGGAGGCGGAGGTTGCAGTGAGCTATCAAGCCACTGTACTCCAGCCTGGGCAACAGAGCAAGACTCCGCTTGAAAACAAAAACAAAAATAAAAACAAAAACAAAAACAATGATTACCTCTGGAGAGCAGAATTGGAGATGTAAAATGAGGGGGGACATCTTGATACATTTTACTTGATACACTCATATTGTGTTAATATTTTTACACAGAGTATGTATTACCTTCTGGAAAAAGAATAAAAGTTAAGGATTGCTGAAGTTCATGTGTGACTGTCATTCAATGGACATTTGTTGAAAGGATGAATGTCCCGGGCCATTTGTCTCCTCTGCTTCTGTTCAATTGTGCTTGTACTTCCTGACCTTGGCTTGTCACTTGTCTGGGTTTATCCAGGTAGGTGCTCTCAGGCACCCCCAGGGCTCTAGTGGTACGTGACCCCAGCCTGCACAGTGTGTCCCTGGGTTGGGGCCACTGCAAGATTTCACGAGCCCCTCCGCCGCTGCCAGGGGCAGCCCCCAACCAAGGATACCTGGTTGCTTGGCTCTTCCATTTCTGAAACCCATTACTGGGCATCTGTGCCTGCCCCGACTGCTCTCCCATGAACACAGGGCCTCTGCCCAGCTGCCTTACGAGGCGTGGTGCCCTGTGGATCCCTGCTGCCATCTGGCCATGCTTCGGGATCTGGCCTGTTCTGTTGTGCTTGTGTCTGTGCCTGGGAACAGCTGACGCTGGGACAAAAATATTGGGACAATTGCCCCTGCCCCTGCTTCAGATTCCCAAGGTGCTGCCAGGACCATCTGCTTTGCCACAAATACCATAACTCCCATTTGCTGTAGCGCCTAAATAGTGGAGGAGTCCTTGTCTAGTTCAAGTCCCATTTTACAGAAGAGCGAACTGAGGTGGTCCTCCATCGGCATAGAGTGTCCGACTCTTCCCTCCCAGCATCCAGTACCAGGCATGGTGGCTCCTCTGCCCTCTCCCGGGCACTTGATACTTTTTTTTGTGGTTTTTCTTTTTTTGAGATGGAGTCTTGCTCTGTCGCCCAGGCTGGAGTGCAGTGGTGTGAACTTGGGTTACTGCAACCTCCACCACCCAGGTTCAAGTGATTCCTCTGCCTCAGCCTCCTGAGTAGCTGGGATTACAAGCATGTATCACCACACCCAGCTTAGTTTTACATTTTTAGTAGAGATGGGGTTTCCCCATGTTGGCCAGGCTGGTCTCGAACTCCTGACCTCTGGTGATCTGCCCATCTCGGCCTCCCAAAGTGCCGGGATTACAGGCGTGAGCCACCAGCCACCCCTTTCTTGTGACGGGGTTTCCTGTTCTGGCTGCTTTCACCTACTGCTGCGTGTATCCATGGCTGCTCCTTAATATTGATGCCAGTTATTATTATCATTATTTTCGGAGATAGGGTCTTGCTATGTCACCCAGGCTTAAATGCATTGGTGTGACCTTGGCTCAATGTAGCGTTGGCCTCGCAGGCCTAAGTGATCCTTTCACCCAAGCCTCCCAAGTAGCAGAGACTACCAGCATGCACCACCATGCCTAAGTAATTACATAATTTTTTTTGTAAAGACAGAGTCTCGCTATGTTGCCCAGGCTGGTCTTGAACTCCTGGGCTCAAGCAATCCTCCCTCCTTGGCCTCCCAAAGTGCTGCGATTACAGGCATGAGCCACGGCACCTGGCCTATTATTTTTAATAAATAATGTTAATGCTTATTGTTATAAACAAATGTGTGTTCATTGTGAAAAGCAAATTGAGTTATTGTGGAAGCTGAAAGGACACAGCTCTCTGAGTTTACATTTATAAGACAGGGGGACCAACTTCGCTTTATTTGCCTGGGATGGTCCCAGAGTAAAACAGGAAGTCCTGCATCCTGGAAAACCTCTCAGTCCTGCACAAACCGGGATGGTTGGTCACCCTGCAGAACAGCTGGAAGACCCCGGAGGGGGACTAATTTCCAATAATTAATGCTATGGGGGTCTCAAAGAATCAGGTTTTGGGCTTTGCAGACAAATATACCTGTTCTAACACTAGATGGTGGAGTCTGGGCCACACACAGATACACAAAAATAAAATCACCATTCCTATGCAACTCACTCTTTTGTTCAGGCTGGAGTGCAATGGTGCAATTTCGGCTCACTGCAACCTCCATCTCCCAGGTTCAAGGGAGTCTCCTGCCCCAGCCTCCTGAGTAGCTAGGTTTACAGGAGTGCGCTACCACAGCAGGCTAATTTTTTTGTATTTTTTTAGTAGAGATGGGTTGGTTGGTCAGGCTGGTCTGGACCTTCTGACTTCGCGATCTGCCCGACTCGGCCTCCCAAAATGCTGGGATTACAGGCCTGAGCCACCGTGTCTGGTGGAACTCACTCTTAATATGCCTGAGGAGTATCCAATCTCTTTGGACAAGGCCACCCTCTATGTTGCTTTTTACTCAGCTTTACCCACACAGAAATTTTGGGGTCCCATGGTGGGGGGCCCAGCAGTTGCCAAGGTCTGCAGCCTCCTCCAAGGGGTCCCATCTAACTCTCAAGAGGAAGGAGGGGGTTCTCAGTCGCCAGGTGGGCATGGCACTCCCGAGGCCAGGTGACCAGGGAACTGCCCTGGGGGTCAGGGCTGGTCCGGTTCTTACCGAATTGATCCAGTCGATGTAACTGGAGACCCGTGTGAAGATGGAGAGCTTGTGGCAGTAGTTGTAGGTGAAGCTGCTGATGCCATGCACCTCCCACTGGCCGTCAGCTGCCTGACAGTTCAGTGGCCCGCCGGAGTCTCCCTGAGGAAGGCCAGAGTTATAGAAGGGTAAAGGGAGAGGAAGGGGCTGCTCATTGGAACCATTGTTCTCAATGCATTTCTATTGTTCTACTGCAGGTCACTGTCGTCTGAAGCCAGTCCTTGTGGTCATAGCCCAGGGTGGTACCATAATTCCAACAAGAGCCAACACTTATTCTTCCTTTGTGGCCAGAGCTGAGCTAAGCATGTTCTATGCTTTATCTCATTAATCCCCACAAAATCCTAGGAGGTAAATATTCACAGTGTCCCCAGGCCATTGGAGAGGAGAAACTGGAGTGTTGAGAGGTTGGGACTTGCCCAAGGTTGCACAAGCAGTTTGTAAAGGAGCTGAGGCCACATTCCAGAGTTCAGGCTCTTCCCCACTGGCTCTGTCTTCCCACGGGTGGGGTGGTCTGTGTGGGCAGAGTGTGATCTGAATGGCATGTGGAACTCCTTCCTATTCCATCCCCACTTCACTGCTAAGTCCAACACAGAGCAATTCCTGGTGGTTAAGACACTGTCTCCGGGAAGGCTTCCGTGGCAGCTACCTGGAGGGGACACGCTGGGCCGCTGATGAGAGTAATTCAACAGAAAACCCAGAAGTCATCCTAGAAAGGCCCTAAGCCCGGGAATACTTTCCTCTGGCTCCCTTCCATCATAGAGGAAACGTTATGAAATGACAGTCACAAGAGACCTTGATGAGACCCAGGGAAGGACTTCCCAGCAGTGAGAGGAGTGGACACGACAAGGAGAATCTCAAAACAAGAACAAACAAGAACCAAGATCAAGTTTTTTTTTTTGTTTTTTGTTTTTTGAGTTTCACTCTGTCACCCAGGCTGGATTGCAGTGGTGTGACCTTAGTTCACTGCAACCTCTGCCTCATGGGTTCAAGTGATTCTCCTGCCTCAGCCTCCTAAGTAGCTGTGACTACAGGTGCCCGCCACCACGCCCAGCTAATTTTTGTATTTTTAGTAGAGACAAGGGTTCACCATGTTGGCCAGTCTGGTCTCGAACTGCTGATCTCAAGTGTTCTGGCCACCTTGGCCTCCCAAAGTGATCGGGTACAGGCAAGAGCCACCGAGCCTGCCCAAAGATCGGGTTCTGGTATATCTGGAACATATTTCTGGGTACTTCTGCCAGGAGGTGGGAGGATGGACCTATGGAGGGATGGACTTTGATAGCGTTATCCCCAGCCACATTTTGTCGTGGAGCGGGGCCCCTGATTTTGGTACTCACGTTGCAGCTGGAGATCACGCCATCACCCTCAGCACAGATCATACTGGTTTTCATGGTCCTGCCCCACCAGCCAGAGCTGGAGCAATTGGCACAGTCCACAACCAGCAACCGGCACTGCTGCAGGACATCAGGAAGAGTCCCGTTGGCTGAATGAGATCAGAGAGACGGCATTAGGGATGCAAGGACTCCTGAGAGAGAGGAAGTGGTGGACTCCTACTGGGTTTCCCCTGTTACTGTCTTCCCTCCATTGCAACATGGGAACAGCCACATTTGTCTATACTGTGTCCTCACGGTTGATTGGTTCAGCAGTGAACACCTGACTCAAGCTAAGCCAATGAGCTCCCTCCCCTGGGATCCTGAGGTGGGGTCTAAGAGATTCCAGTTTCAAAGGACGTAAATCTGGGAAGCTTTTGGCAATGACTGACGTTTTCTTTTATGTGGAGAATGTAGTAGACTCACAAAGAAAAGAAATTCCAAGAGAGAGTGTTTCCTGAGTTTCTTACAGGCTTCCAGCCCCTGATTCTAGCCTGTTCCTGATGCCTGGCTACATCTCGGCCCTTGTTTTGAAACTTTTAAATTCTTATAACAATTTCCCTTTTTTTTTTTTGAGCTAACTCCATGGCTTTCTGTCACTTATCTGAAACAAGAAAGTGAGTCTCCTGGCAGTTAGAGCCCCCTCCTTGAGAAAAATACACTGGTGTGGTTAAGGGAGGGCTTTCATAATGGCCCCCAATGACACAACCACCATCACCTCCATTACTGTTACCACAGCTATGAGTGGCAACGATGAGTTTACCATAATTCTTCACTTCTGATTGAAGCCTAGGGAAGTTAAGCGTCAGTCAGGCGCAGTGGCTCATCCTCTAATCCCAGCACTTAGGGAGGCCAAGGTGGGAGGATCACTTGAAGTCAGCAGTTTGAGACTAGCCTGACCAACATAGTGAAACTCCATCTCTACTAAAATACAAAAATTAGCCGGGCAGGGTGGCACTCGCCTATAATCCCAGCTACTTTGGAGGCTGAGGCAGGAGAATCGCTTGAACTTGGGAGGCAGAGGTTGCAGTGAGCCGAGATTGAACCACTGCACTCCAGCCAGGGCAACAGATCAATACTCTGTCTCCAAAAAAAAAAAAAAAAAAAAGTTAAGGGTCTGGCTTAAGACCACTAATAAGTAATTAACACTTGTATAACATGTTACAATGTAGGACGCATCTTCACCTTTCACCTCTTTTGGTCTTCACCAACAGTGTTTCCATTTTACAGATGAGGAAACTGAGGTTCGGAAGTGGCTTGCCCAAGGTTTTACCGTGACTGAGAGAGCTGGGCCTAAAAGCCAAGCATTTGGATGCCTCCCCTCTCCCACTGTCTCAGATGAACTGCATCTGCCCCAGCGTTGTCTGGGGAAACAAACAGGTGGTTGTGCTTCTATCTTAATAAGCATGAAATGCCTCTTCCACCACCGCTCACCGCAGGATTTCATGTGTCCTTGTGTTTACAGATAAGCCAGTCAAGAGGGCAATGGGGATTTATTCGAGGGTATGTATGTGGATGTACCCCTGGAAAAACATGTCATTATACTTATGGGTTTATGTCATTAGGGAGAAATGTCATAATGTCATTATCACTCATAATGTCATTATGTTCATAAGGTCATTATCACTCTTCCCTTCCTAGAATCTTCTAAACCTCTGGTGATTTCACAAGGGAAGGGCGGGAACTCTGTTTCTCTTGGTGGCTACAGTCATTGGATCTGTAACCCCTGGAGTCTATGTCAAAGGAGACCCGCCCTCAGCCAGGTTCTGAGCAGCAAGACCGAATGGCACAGGGGACAGCTTTTGCCATGGGGCACGGAGGGTCCGATGAGGGCTCCAGGGGCCTCAGGTCACAGAGGAAAATGCTGTTCTGAACTCTATGGGCCACACAGAAGATGTCACATGGTCTCTGTAACTTTCTTTCCATCATAGGGACAGTGACAACAACTAACACACAGCACCTCCCACATGCCAGGCTTCCTGTGGATTATCTCCTTTAATCCTCTTGCAAACTCTGTGATGTAGCTGCTATTATTATGCCCAGTTTTTTTTTTTTTTTTTTTTTTTTTGAGACGGAGTCTCGCTCTGTTCCCCAGGCTGGCGTGCAGTAGGGAAATCTTGGCTGAGTGCAGTAGTGAAATCTTGGCTCACTGCAACCTCCACTTCCCGGGTTCAAGTGATTCTCCTGCCGCAGCCTCCTGAGTAGCTGGGACTACAGACGCATACCTCCACACCCTGCTATTTTAAAAATATTTTTAGTAGAGATGGGGTTTCTCCATGTTGGTCAGGATGGTCTCCTGACCTCAAGTGATCCACCCAGCAGGCCTCCCAAAGTGCTGGGATTACAGGCGTGAGTCAGGGAGCCCAGCCAATTATTTGCATTTTACTTATGATAAAAATTTTGCATTGGAGAGACCTAGTAATGTGCCCAAGGTGTCACAGTCATTAAGTGGGAGAGCTGACATTTGAACCCAGGCAGGCATCAGCCTATGCCATCCCGTCTCTCCGAGGCAGCCACATACCCTGGGATGACAGGTGAGAGGCCTTGGCCAGACAGGGGTGACATCACCTCCCTTCCCTCCCAGGCCTGGGGGCTCCTGGCTCCCACTTACTCTGCAGCCTTCCCCAGCCCGTGACGTAGCAGGGGTACTTGTTGGGTAGAATGGTGCCAGCAGGAGGGAGGCAGGCCAGCTGGATCTTGTCCGTGAGGGAGACAGGGTTAGCCAGTTTGACCAGGGCAATGTTGTACCTGGGTCAGTGCAGAGGCAGAGCATGAGGACAGGGTTGACTTTTCCTGCCCTGTGGGGCTTTGGAGGGCTCTGAGACCTTGTCATCGTTCCCTGTATGTTACCCCAGGTTGCTCTGACTGGCAGGGTCCCAGGGCATCTTTGAAAATGCAGAGGGCCTTATTGAAAGGGGCAAAGTAGGAGAGATTGTGTCCTCCAGGGACAGTCACAGGGTCCAAGCACTGCCACTGTGTCCCCAGGACTTGGCATGAAGTAGATACATGCTCCGTGGACAGGGACCCTGCAGGCTTGACTGGCAGCAAACCAGGTCACTCTGGCAGTCTTTGCTTCTCCCTCCCCAGTTCACATCCCCACCCCAGACATCTTTGGAGCTGGTTCCACCTCTAAGAGGCTAGAGCTTCTTCCCCCTCCCTACAGAAGAAGCAGAGGGCATGTGGTGGAGTTGAGACACTTGTCTCTGTGAGACCCCCGTCTGTTCCCTGACAACCTCATCCCCAAGTGCATCCAGACAGTAACAAACCCTTTGGAGACCTGGTTGGAGTTCCAGTTCTGGTGCACCACAGTCTTAGAGACACTGACGGCCAGCGAGCCGGACTCCGCAATGTCGAGGTTGTGCCGTCCCAGCACCACGCGGTAGGTCCTGGAGGAGCTGGGAGAAAGGGGGCCCAGGGAGAGGGTCACCTCCAGAGGCCTGGCTTTGGATAATGTCGGGATAGACCCAAGTAACTGGCTGCTGCATGAGCCACTAGTTGGGGCTTGGGCTTGGGGATCTTTCCTCCCTTGGGAAAATCAGTTAATTATAATAGAGCCTAAAGTATATAACGTAAGAACTATGATCATATAATAATTGTTACTATACTAACTGTAGACTATAATATAAAATAAATGTTGTAATAACACAGACTCTGTAGGATTACGGAGGGAATGAGATGAACACAGAGAAAACAGGAGTCATTTGCTCTCAAGGACATTTTTCCCACCTTTCATTTTCAGATGGGGAAACTGAGTCCCAGAGAGGCGTAACCTGGCCCAGAGTCCCACCGTTAGTGAGAAACCAGAAGCAGAAGCCAGGACTCCTGACTGTAAGTCTCTATTAGTTTCCCCATCACCTCCTAGAGCTTATTATAAATTAGATGGGAGAAGGGATCACTCCTGGAAGGAGTCACATGGACCCAGCAGAAGCTCTGGTGAGTTCCAGCTGTGATGAGCAGAGGTCACGGATAACAAAGAGGAAAAGTGAACAACGTTGCAGAACCTCGTGGGCCTTTATAATTAGTCTATAATTCAGAATTAGCTTTCACTGGGCACTTACTAAGTGCCAGGCCCTTTAGTAAATCAACTCATTGAATTCACACTAAACTCTGTTACTCCATTGTTTTCTGCAGGTGATGGTATTGAAGCTTTGAGAAGTCAAGTTGTTCAAGGGAACCCAATTCCAGATCCAGAGGCCACATATAGTTTCCCGAAGAGGGCAAAGATTAGGCCTTCCCTTCTCCTCATCCTCCCTCAGTACCTGGCACAGGACACCCCATTTGTGCCATGAACTGACATTGATGGGCCAACACACTGAACCATTGACTGACTACAGCTTGTGTCTCAGCCAGGCTAGTCGTTATTTGCAAGGCTGCTTTATGTAGCGTGGTTCAGGCCATTTAAGACCCCAGCTCAGAAATGAGCACCAGCTGGTGAGCAGGCCAAGTCCCCAGCTCAGAAATGAGCACCAGCTGGTGAGCAGGCCAAGTGCCCAGGGAATGGCAGTTACCTGATGCAGTGGGCAGCTGTCAGGACCCAGTTGTTGGCTACCAGGGACCCTCCGCAGGTGTGGTACCAATTGCCATTGGAGGTGTATTGCAGGGAGACCTGGGGAGAAACACAGGAGCTTGTGGCTGTGGCTGAAAAAGCAGGGCCTCCCTGCACTCCAGTTTCCCAAGAACAGGGCTGGGACTAGGGTAAGGGGGAGTGAGGTCCTCACCTCACGTGCACAACTTAAGGGGGCACCCAAAACCTCAGACGTCAAGATAAAAAATACATTAATGCAATCTACATTAAAAATGATCAGGCCAGGCATGGTGGCTCATGCCTGTAATCCCAACACTTTGGGAGGCCAAGGAAGGAGGATCACTTGAGCGCAGGAGTTTGAGACCCGCCTGGGCAATGTGGTGAAACCCCATCTGATAAAGTTTGGCTATGTCCCTACCCAATTCTCATCCTGAATTGTAGCTCCCATTATCCCCACGTGTTGTGGGAGGGACCTGGTAGGAGGTAATTGAATCGTGAGTGTGGTTACCCCCATGCTGTTTTCATGATAGTGAGTTCTCACAAGATCTGATGGTTTTACAAGGCGCTTTTCCCCACTTTTGCTCGGCATTTCTCCCTGCTGCCGCTGTGTGAACAAGGATGTGTTTCCTTCCCCTTCTGCCGTGATTGTAAGTTTCCTGAGGCCTCCCCAGCCAAGCTGAGCTGAGTCAATTAAACCTCTTTCCAAGTTACCGAGTCTCAGTTATGTCTTTCTTAGCAGTGTAAGGAAGGACTAATACATTGTATCTACAAAAAAATTGCCGAAAATTAGCCGCTGGGTGCAGTGGTGCATGCCTACAGTCCCAGCTACTCAGAAGGCTGAGGTGGGAGTATTGCTTGAGCCCAGGAGTTTGTGAACCAGTCTGGGCACCATAGCGAGAACCTGACTCTACGAAAACATTTTTAAAATAAAATAAAAATTAACTGGGAGTGGTGGTGCACACCTGTAGTCTCAGCTACTCAGGAGGCTGAGGTGGGAGGATTGCTTGATCTCAGAAAGTCTAGGTTGCAGGGAGCTGTGATTGCTCTGTGCTCAGCCTGGGTGACATAGCAAGGGCCTGTATCTACTCTGCCCCCCAACAAAAAGCAACAACAAAATTAATGCAAAAAATCTGGGATAGAAAAATAAAAAACATGGCTGGGCGCGGTGGCTCAAGCCTGTAATCCCAGCACTTTGGGAGGCCGAGACGGGTGGATCACGAGGTCAGGAGATCGAGACCATCCTGGCTAACACGGTGAAACCCCGTCTCTACTAAAAAATACAAAAAACTAGCCGGGCGCAGTGGCGGGCGCCTGTAGTCCCAACTACTCGGGAGGCTGAGGCAGGAGAATGGTGTGAACCCGGGAGGCGGAGCTTGCAGTGAGCTGAGATCCGGCCACTGCACTCCAGCCTGGGCGGCAGAGCGAGACTCCGTCTCAAAGAAAAAAAAAAAAAAAAGAAAAATAAAAAACATATAGACAATTAAAGAATAACTGTTCTGCCAGGCATAGTGCCTCATGCCTTTAATTCTAGCACTTTGGGAGGCAGAGGTAGGTGAATCCACCTGAGGTCAGGAGTTTGAGACCAGCTTGATGTCATCCTTGGCTTCTGTCTTTCCCTCTTATCCCTCATTCAAGTCTATCAGCAAATCCCATCAGCTCTAGCTTGGGAATATGTGGAGTGATTGCTACCCCTTGGTCACTACCTCAACTGCGTGTCCCAGTCATCCTCTCTTCTCAATTATCACTCTAGTCTCCCATCTCTTCTCCCCGCTCCTGCCCACATTTTCTCAACACAGCAGCCAGAATGACCCTTTTTGAATGGAAGTCGGATGACTTCTCTTCTCTGCTCAGGCTCTCCAGTGGCTCCCCCTTAACAGTTTATAAAACCTAAGATGGTCTGATGACCTACTAGGTCCTCTGTGGCCTCTCTGACTCCATAGGCTCCCACTGTCCTCTCCTCCAGCCACCCTGACTTCCATGCAGTTCTGCAAATACACCAAACCCACTTCTGCCTGAGGGCCTTTGCACTAGCTCTTCCTCCTGCCTAGAATATTCTCGCAAATATCGATGTAGCTCTTTCCTTCACTTCCTGTTGGTCTCTGCTCAAGGTTACCTTCTCCATGAGGTCTTCTATGACCACGCTATCCCCAACAGTGTGCACACAGACGTACATGCACCCTCGTGTACATACACACACAGACACACTCGCCTCCTTCCTCTTGCTCTGCGTTACTCTTCCTCATAGCATCTTGCATTTTCTGGCATGTTATGAGTTTACTCATTCAGTTGTTTATTGTCTCACTCCTCTGCTTTATTTTATTTTTATTTTTTGAGATAGAGTCTTGCTTTGTCGCTCAGGTTGGAGTGCAGTGGCATCATCTCGGCTCACTGCAACCTCTGTCTCCTGGGTTCAAGCAATTCTCTTGTATAAGCCACCAGAATAGCTGGGATTACAGGTGCCTGCCACCACACCTGGATAATTTAGTTGCATTTTTAGTAGAAACGGGGTTTCACCATGTTAGCTAGGCTGATCTCGAACTCCTGACCTCAGGGTATCTATCCACCTTGCCCTCCAAAAGTAATGGGATTACAGGTGTGAGCCACCGTGCCCGGCTACTCCTCCACTTTAACAAAGGCTTCATGAATTTTTTTCCCCCACTGCTATGTGCCAGGCGCCTAGAACGGTGCCTGGTACATACTGGGTCTTTAACAAAAGCTTACTGATTGAACAAGGGAGTGAATAAGCAAATGAATAGAATGAAAGAGATCACCAGGGCCGGGTGATCTTGTCTCCTGCTTGTCTAGTTTCCCCCCGAAGACCAAATCCACTCATGGGAACATGAGACTGCATAAGTGGACCTTACTCACCTGTCCCCCGGCTCCTCATGTTTTTTTAAATACATTTTTTCAGGTTAGAAAATGGTTTCTAGGCAGGGCACAGTGGGTCGCGCTTGTAATCCTAGCTACTCAGGGGGCTGAGGCAGGAGAATCACTTGAACCCTGGAGGCGGAGGCTGCAGTGAGCCGAGATGGCACCACCGTACTCCAGCCTGGGCAACAGAGTGAGGGTCTGTCTCAAAAAAAAAAAAAAAAAAAAAGGTTTCTATTTAGATTGACAGTTTAGCAGGTGTGGGGTACAACTTTTAAGTGGTGGAGGCTGGGCACCGTGGTTCACGCCTGTAATCCCAGCACTTTGGGAGGCCGAGGCGGGTGGGTCACTTGAGGCTAGGCGTTTGACACCAACCTGGCCAACATGGTGAGACCCCCATCTGTACTAAATATACAAAAATTAGCCGGGTGTCGTGGTGTGTGCCTGTAATCCCAGCTACTTGGGAGGCTGAGGTAGGAGAATCGCTTGAACTCAGGAGGCGGAGATTGCAGTGAGCTGGGATGGCGCCACTGTACTCCAGCCTGGGTGACAGAGTGAGACCCTGTGTTTAAAAAAAAAAAAAAGAAAAAAGGTGGTGACATCTGACACTGTTTTAGTCTCTAATGAAGCGTTCCATGCCCTTCCTGTTCCTTCATTCCTCCTCCCCTGTCTTTCAATTCCCTGCCACAGCCAAGCAGAGGGGAGGGAGGTGACAGTAGGGCATGGACTGCACTGATCGGGCTTCCTGTAACTGTGGGGAACGATGATCTGTTTGTTGGCAGATGCCAGATGCCTGCTTTTCTCTGAACGTTCTTGTTTTTAATTAGCCATTTGGCATTTCTAGTTTGTGTGACATTAAGAGGTCTTAGATGAACTGGCTTTAAAAAAGACGTTTAAAATTAGAGAAAGTGAAAAAAGATACTTCAAAGGATGTACCCCCCCAATTTAAAAATGTGCTGAAACCATCCGACAGATGTGAAATTTAGTCCACGTAATATGTATTATTTGTGGCCAGCAAAGTGTAGCTAAAAGAACAAGCCCTGAACCAAATTTGAATCCTCATTCCCCCCAGGCTAACTCAGTGCCTTTGGGCAATTCTGTAACCTTTCCAAGTCCCAGTTACCTTCTCTGCAAATGCGGAACATAAGCTACTGTGCAGGGCTCTCAGGGTGATTAATACTGTAATGACAATAGCTGGCTGGGTGGGATGGCTCATGCCTGTAATCCCAGCACTTTGGGAGGCTGAGGCAGGTGGGTCAGGAGTTTGAGACCAGCCTGGCCAACACAATGAAATCCCATCTCTTCTAAAAATATGAACAATTACCTGGGCGTGGTGGTGTTCACCTGTAATCTTAGGTGTATGGCAGGCTGAGGCAGGAGAAATAATTACCTGAACTTAGGAACTGGAGGTTGCAGTTAGCCAAGATTGTGCCACTGCATTCCAGCCTGGGTGACAGAATGAGACTCTGTGTCCAGGAGAAAAAACAAAATTGCCTTAAAATATTGTTCATTTTGGTTAGTGAGGTTTTTCTTTTTTTTTTTTCTTTCTTTTCTTTTTTTTTGTGATGGCTAGCTATGTTGCCCATACGGGTCTCAAACTCTTGGGCTCCAGCAATCCTCCTGCCTCAGCCTCTTGAATCGCTGGGATTAAAAGTGTGTGCCACTGCGCCCGGCTGGTTGCTTAGTTTTGTGCTACCCCCTTTCATTTTGCCCCGGAGTGAATGTATTACTTGCCTCATCGGGGTCCCCACCCAGCTAGATCTGCCTATGATCTCAGTAAAACAATTTCCCCAGGAAAACAGAAGCACAAAGTGTAGGGACTCTTCACAGACTAACATTCACTGGTTCTCAAGGCAGGAACACCTTTGTGCAAGAGGGTGAGGAAGTATTTTTGGAGGCAGCAATGATTTGTTCTCAGCACAAATGCGCCCGGTGCTGTGGGGCCCTGTAGCAGAGGGACTGTGGCCCTTCTTCCAAATTCTCAGGCAAAAAATACTGTGGGACTGTGAGAAAAGCAAAAGAACTGGCAAAAGTACACAAAGCCAAGTATATAAATTGTGAGTCTGGGTCGAGTGGCTCATGCCTGTAATCCCAGCACTTTGGGAGGCTGAGGCAGGAGGATCACTTGAGCCCAGGAGTTCAAGACCAGCCTGAGTAACATAGTGAGACCGCATCTCTAAAAAAAAAAAAAAAAATTAACCAGGTGTGGTGGCATGCATCTGTGGTCTCAGCTGGTAGGGAGGCTGAGGTGGGAGGCTAGGAGTTTGAGGCCGCAGTGAGCCATGTTTCGCCAGCCACTGTACTGCAGCCTGTGTGAGAGAATGTGACACTGAATCAAAAAAAAAAAAAAAAATTACTATGGCTGAGCACAATGGTGGGTGCCTGTAATCCCAGCACTGTGGGAGGCTGAGGCAGGTGGATGACTAGAACCCAGGAGTTGGAGGCTGCAGTGAGCTGTGATTGTTTCACTGCACTCCAGCCTGGGTGACAGAGCAAGGGTCTGTCTGAAAAAAAGAAAAAAATGTGAAATATCTGCCATCGTTCTATCATTGACAGTTTTTTTTTTTTTTTGATGGAGTCTCACTCTATCACCCAGGCTGGAGTGCAGAAGTGGGATCTTGGCTCAACACAACCTCCGCCTTCCAGGTTCAAGTGATTCTTGTGTTTCAGCCTCCCAAATAGCTGGGAGTACAGGTGTCCGCCACCATGCCTGGCTAATTTTTGTATTTTTAGTAGAGGCAGAGTTTTACCATGTTGGCCAGGCTAGTCTCAAACTCCTGACCTCAGGTGATCCACCTGCTTCGGCCTGCCAAAGTGCTGGGATTACAGGCATGAGCCACCGTGCCTGGCCTATCATTGACAGTCAAGGAGCAGATGAATGACGCTGGCCTCTCTAAACACAGTGACTGCTGCATGGGTCACTCTGAATGCTCAAGGCTAGTGGGCTGCTAATTTCTCCTCCTACTTAAGTTAGAAACTCATCCTGATTCAGCTGGGTTTGCTCCTAAAGTAGTTTATATCAATTATGCTTGCAATAATGAAATTTGATTAAATATGTAACCAAAGAAATGTGAGTTCAGAAAGAGAGTCGTTATTTATATGGAAACAAAGTTAAATGTTTGGAAGAGACTGGATCACCATGATTCTTAAAAAATTGCTCTTGAATTAGTGTCTGTGAGAAAATGGAAAGATTGGGGAGAAATGTCGTAAAAGTCAGGATAGCTTCATAACTCAGATTGCTTTGTGAACATCTCAAAGTCACTGCTCTGCTTTAAAGAAATGGACTTGCAGATGAGATATTATGGGGCGTGGTTTATATGAAAAAGACAGTTAAGAACTTAAAAAATTGTTTACATAGTCTAAGATAAAATGTTTACAACATATACGTATGATTTAAAATAATTTCTTTTTTTTTTTTTTTTTTGAGACGGAGTCTCGCTCTGTCACCCAGGCTGGAGTGCAGTGGCCGGATCTCAGCTCACAGCAAGCTCCGCCTCGCGGGTTCACGCCATTCTCCCGCCTCAGCCTCCTGAGTAACTGGGACTACAGGCGCCCGTCACCTCGCCCGGCTAGTTTTTTGTATTTTTTAGTAGCGACGGGGTTTCACCGTGTTAGCCAGGATGGTCTCGATCTCCTGACCTCGTGATCCACCCGTCTCGGCCTTCCAAAGTGCTGGGATTACAGGCTTGAGCCAGCGCGCCCGGCCTAAAATAATTTCTTTAAACCAACTTTTCAATTACTCAGTCCCAATTACATCAGATAAATGAGATTTTACTATATTTGTTTGCATCAGTGTAAACTTTACACAGTTCTCTTAAAATTCCCGCCATTAACACATCTTAGTAATTCTGCCTGTGCCCCACTCGGCAGTTTAGTCTTGATATCAGCATGATTATATGAACTTAAGAAAACAGTTTTTCCATTGGTAACTTTGATTTGCCTGTAGTTAAAGATGAATCTGCACAAACAGCAGATTGGTTCCTTAAAGCAAGGAATGTTTGCATAGGTAGTCTTGAATGGTTCCTAGACTAATGGTACATTTGTAAACAAGCCTCTGATTGGTTGATAGAGTAAGACTATATTTGCTGCCTATGGGCAGTGGGGAGTGGACAGCTTCTTACTGCAGCTGGAGGAGGTACCTCTCCCTCCTCTCCCAAGGTTGGCCAAGGCCACAGAAATGTACCTTTTTTTTTTTTTTTTTTGAGACAGAGTCTTGCTTTGTTGTCCAGGCTGGAGTGTGGTGGTGCAATTTCAGCTCACTGCAACCTCTGTCTTCTGGGTTCAAGCGATTCTCCTGCCTCAGCCTCCCGAGTTGCTGGGATTACAAGTGTGTGCCGCCACGCCTGGCTAACTGTGTATTACTAGTAGAGGCGGGTTTCACCATGTTGGCCAGGCTGGTCTGAAACTCCTGACCGCACGTGATCTGCCCACCACGGACTCCCTGAGTGCTGGGATAACGGGCATGAGCCACTGGGCCCAGCCGGAAATGTATCTTATTGGTGAAGTTGCCTGTGCTGCTCTCTGAGTCCCATCAGTCCTCACTTTGCCAGCACAGTAGACCCCATGGTGGAAGGGCAAAGGGGGGATGTAAAGGGAATGGGGCAGGGACAGGGGGAAGTACAGTGTGGTCGACTCACCTGCCAGGGCCAGCTGTTAGGCGTCGCTTCTTCACCTCCAACCACCCTAGTCACAGAAGGCGGGTAAGTGGGGACCCCACAACTGAGGGCTATGAAAAGAGAAAGGGTCTTAAGTCCAGGAAGCAGCGACCCACACAATGTAAACTATACTTGCTGCATTCTGAACCCCCAAATAGAAAAACCTTGTTCTCAGGAGGCTGAGGCAGGAGAATGGCGTGAACCCAGGAGGCGGCGCTTGCAGTGAGCCAAGATCGCACCACTGTACTCCAGCCTGGGTGACAGAGTGTGACTCCGTCTCAAAAAAATAAATAAAACCGTTGTTCTAGAAGGATCCCAGGAGGTCATAGAATCCTGCTCTTTGCTCCAATTCCGTGAAACTCCATTCCAGTTTTCTTATGATTACACGTCTGAATGCAGTGGGGGTTGGGTGGGGGCAAGACGGGAGGACAGGAAGATCCCATTCCCAGCCACACCAGGGGATGGGAAACCAGTGGCTCTGGGTGACAGGGTTTACCTCCAGCCACCAAAGCAGACAGCAGCAGGGTCCTAATCATGGTGTGTCCGTGGGAGTTCTGTCAGCGTGGCCCTGGAGAAGGCCCTGGTTTTATGAGGAACTTATCAGTGAGAGATACACTGGGAGCATGCAAGATGGGGATTTTCTCAAAGCCCAGTGGAAAAAAGAGCTTGTGTCCAGATACACTTTTTCCCATTTGCTCCCAACTGTCACCCTAGAAATACTTTGAAAAAGATGTCAAAGGTAGATATTGGAACATGGGTTCCATCTGTTTTGAAGAGATTATGTTGTGTGTTAGGGAAGGAAGAAAAATACTAATTGTTGGACCTTGGAGTTGTGTTTTCTTTTTTTTTTCCTCCCTGGGTAAGACTGAGAAGAGAAGTTGTGTTTTCTTTCTCTCTTTTTTTTTCTTTCTGAGATGGAGTCATGCTGTGTCACCCAGGCTGGAGTGCAGTGGCGTGATCTCAGCTCACTGCAACCTCTGCCTCCTGGGTTCAAGCAATACCCTTTCCTCAGTCTCCCTAGCCGCTGGGATTACAGGTGTGTGCCACCATTCCTGGCTAATTTTTGTATTTTTAGTAGAGACGGGGGTCTCATCATGTTGGCCAGGCTGGTCTCAACCTCCTGGCCTCAAGTCACCTGCTCACCTCGGCCTCCCAAGGTGCTCGGATTACAGGCTGAGCCACTGTGCCCAGTCAGGAGTTGTGTTTTCAATGTAAAGATGAAGGTGGCATGCTGAACCCACAGCGTTCTAAGGCAGTATTTCTCAGTGGGGCTGGTTCAGCCACCAGGAGACGTTTGACAACATCTGGGGACATTGTTGGTTGTCATGGCTGGGGTTGATGTTATTGGCATCCAGTGGGCAGAGAGCAGAGATGCTGCTAAACATCCAACAATGCCCTGGGCAACAGGACATGCCCTGCCCCAAATGTCAATGGTGCTGAGGCTGAGAAAGCCTGTTCTAGGCCACGCCAGGGCTTGCAGTGTGACCTTGGCTGGGTCATGTAAGTCTCTAGACCCATCTGTGAAACAGGGAGAGAAACCTGTGCCCAGCGTGTTTCACAACATTACAGTAAGGATTTGTGTAATGTGGGGAAGGTGCACACGTAGCAGAAGGCGAGGCCGATATGCACAATTAGCATCTGGCTGCTCTAATGATCGGGGGAAGCAGAACGCTGGCAGAGGAGGACTTCATCGGGTAGATCAAGATGCACTTTATGGCCGGGCACAGTGGTTCACTCCTATAATCCCAGAACTTTCAGAGGCTGAGGCTGGTGGATCACCTGAGGCCAGGAATTTGAGACCAGCCCAGCCAACATTGCAAAACCCTGTCTTTACTAAAAATAGAAAAATTAGCCGGACGTGGTGACACGCACCTGTAATCCCAGCTACTCAGGAGCCTGAGGCAGGAGAATCACTTGAATCCAGGCGTCAGAAGTTGCAGTGAACCAAGATCGCACGTCGCCTGGGTGACAAGAGCAAAACTCCATCTGAAAAAAAAAAAAAAAAAAGGCCAGGTGCACTGGCTCACGCCTGTAATTAACCAGACATGATGGCACCTGCCTATACTCCCAGCTACTTGGCAGGCTGAGGCAGGAGAATCGCTTGAACCTGGGAGGCGGAGGTTGCAGTGAGCTGAGATCAGGCCACTGCACGCTAGCCTGGGCAACAGAGTGAGACTCTGTCTCAAAAAAAAAAAAAAAAAAAAAAAAAGACCAGCCTGGAAAACATAGTGAGACCCACCCCAGTCCCCGTCACTACAAAATTTTCTTTAAAAGTTAGCCAGGCCTGGTGGTACACATATGTGGCTCCAGCTACTCTGGAGGCCGAGGCAGGAGGGTCGCTCGAGCCTGGGTGGTCAAGGCTGCAGTGAACTGCAATCAAGCCACCACAGCCTGGGCGACAGATGCATTTTATGTCCTTTTCCAGGAGAATAACAGTTTGGACCTCTCCAATACCCTCATCTTCCAAATTGTGTCAAAGCAGAAGCTTCTTCCAAAGGGGAACAAACAGAGGCAGGGTGACACTCACCCAGCACCACATAGACATTAGATGCACTCACATTCCTTATTGAATCTAAGCCTTAGGAAACCCTGCAAGAGGCTCCCTTATTTCACAGGAGGAAGCTGAGCTTCAGAGAGGTGAAGTGACTTGCCCAAGATCCTACAGCTTCTAAACGCAGAATGGGAATTGGAACTAGGTTGGTCTGATCCCAAAGCCCATTACTTGCCACCACTGGAGACAGCATCCTGCCTCACCTTCTAGGACTTCAACTTGTGTTGGGAGAAGCATGGAGTGAGCATGGTTTCCTGGTGGACTCTCTTGTTCTTCCTTAGACCTTCACTCTCCTCGCCTTTTGGGACAGCACAAAGCCAGGCAGGCCTGCTGCTGATGAGAAAGCTCTGCTCTGTGATCACAAACTCTAGTTTTTGCCACAGTCAAAAAAGCAGTGGGGAAACTGGACTTCAACCCTTAAGACTTGAGTTCAAGTCTTTGATCCACCAATTTTGAGTGTGGTGGTCGGGACAAGCCACTTATCTTCTGGGCCTTAGTTTCCTAGATAACCACCTAGGCCTGGATTGCAGGATTATTGTATGGGGAAGAAAATGGGTGGGAAAGAATTCTGTAATCTCCCTAGGATGGTGCAAAGGTGAGAAAGATTGGGGGCGTGGGCAGACTCCATGGGAAGGATACCAGAAGACGTGGGTTCCAGTCCCAACTCCATCCCATACTCTGTGTAACAGTTTGGACTCACTTATGGTCTGCATCAGTCACTACAGCAACCAACTATTTCCAATTTCTTTTTTTTCTTTTCTTTTCTTTTCTTTCTTTCCTTTTTTTTTTTTTGAAGAGTTTTGCTCTTGTTGCCCAGGCTGGAGTGAGGAGTGAAGTGGCATGATCTCGGCTCACCACAACCTCTGCCTCCTGGGTTCAAGTGATTCTCCTGCCTCAGCCTCCTGAGTAGCTGGGATTACAGGCATGCACCACCACATCCAGCTAATTTTTAAATTTTTAGTACAAATGGGGTTTCTCCATGTTGGTCAGGCTGGTCTTGAACTCCTGACCTCAGGTGATTTGCCTACCTCAGCCTCCCAAAGTGCTGGGATTACAGGCGTGAGCCACCGTGCCCAGCACCAACCAATTATTTCTTAAGTCTCATATTTTATTTGGCATTCTGCTCTGTGTCTTTGTTTAATATAAAAAGAAGGCTTGTCCTGTATGAGGCCACTGAACAAACACCAGCTGTGAATTTGCTGTGTGACCTTGGGCCAATCTCACAGGCTTTCTGATCTGGGGTTGCCTATCTACAAACAAGGAGAAGAACAGATGATCGGTCCATTCCACCACATTGCTGTCAGGATTTGAAAATGACACAAAACTTACACAGTTGTGCTTAAGCCAACAAAATGGCAAAATCCAGGAGCAGAGCTGGCTTCAGGCAGAGCAGGTTTCAGGGCCCTGGTGATGGCCCTTGAACTTGGCTTTTCTTCATCTTTTGCTTCAGCCTTCTGCTTTGAGGTCTCATCTCAGCCTCCGTTAAGAGGCCTGTAGCTGCTCCGGGTTCTCCCTTCCTTGAGGACAAGATCACCGCAGCATCTCTGGTCCAGAGTTCCTCACCTGCAGCAGTGTTGACATTTCGGGCGGGATGATGGCTTTGTTGTGACGGCTGTGTCTATGTTCTGTGCATTGTGGGAGTTTGACAGCATCCCTGGCCCCAGTCTGCTAGATGCCAGTCCCTACCCCTCCCCACACAGTTGCCACAACTAAAAATGTCTCCACACATTGCCAGATGTATGCTGGGGAGCAATATCACCCCATCTCCTCCTTCCCCTCTCATTTTGCTTTGTAGCCTCACATCCCCTCATCCTCACACCTGTGCAGTGAATGAGTGACAGCCCTCTGGTAGCTGCCTGTGCAAGTCATGCAACCTCTCTGATTGCACCTGCCTCAGGTCACATGCTCATCCCTGAGCCAATCGCTGTGGTGGGGAAGGGGATGCAATGTGTTGATTGGCCAGGCCTGGAGCACGGGCTCCAGCCTTGGTCCTGGGCCATGAGGTTTCCCCAGAACCTCTGGGATCCCTTGGGGCAGCGCCTGCACAGAAATCCAGGCTTCTCTGCTGGGAGGGGATGAAAGGGAGGCAGAGGATGCAGAGTGCAGGAAGCCGCTACAGCCCACTTCCCTCCCAGGAGCTTAGTGCTCCATTTATATGTTGTTTGACAATAATGTCATGTGTCAGGTTCTAAAGTGGGCTGGGTCCTTGAGGTCTCAGACGGGCAGGGAGACGCAGATGCAAAATTCTTTTTTTTTTTTTTTTTTTTGAGACAGGGTCTCACTCTGTTGCCCAGGCCAGAGTACGATGATGTGATCTTGGCTCACTGCAGTCTCTACCTCATGGGCTCAAGCGATCCTCCCACCTCAGCCTCCTGAGTAGCTGGGACTACAGGTGCGTACCACCTCGCCCATTTACTTCTTGTATTTTTAGTGGAGACCGGGTTATGCCATGTTACTCAGGCTGGTCTTGAATTCCTGGACTCGAGCGATCTGCCTGCCTTGGCCTCCCAAAGTGCTAAGTGCTGGGATTACAGGGCTGTGCCACTGTGCCCAGCCTACTCATGGTTTTTAGGGCCCTGGATGTTCGGATGGATTGCTAATAAATCTCTCATCAAGATGTGATTTGCATAGTTGTCACTTTATTATAATATTAATTTCCTTCTGGGACCTTTACAAATCTGAAACCGTCCCGGGGACTTCTTTTGGTTAGTTATTTGCAATCACCTGCAGGACACACAAGAAAATCATCAGGTTCACCTAACCGCAGAGCTGTGCGTGCAGTTTCCTGTCTCTGTCCTCCTGGGCTAAGCTCCTCAAGTGAGTCACAGGCAGCCCACACTGCACTAGCTCCTGCCTGAGGAGTTCTGATGACGTTTTGAAAACAAAGATGCAATCACAGCTTTTCATTGACCTGTTAGGGTCTTCCTGTAAAGGGGGTCTTATCAGGAGTCCTATGTGGGCTTCAGGGTAGGGGGCCTTTGAACCCCTAAAACTTATATTCCAAATGTGTGGATGGCATATTTTTAGATTTCATTTGTTTCTCAAATCAAAACTGCTGTTTGCAAGGCAGTTATGCAATGTGGTTGGCGCTATAACTGCTTCCAGAGGCTGTTGATCAGTGTCTGTTAAACGTTTTTTTTTTGAGACAGTCTCACTGTGTTGCCCAGGCTGGAGTGCAGTGGGGTGATCTGGGCTCACTGCAACCTCTGCCATGCAGGTTCAAGTGATTCTCGTACATCAGCCTCCCGGGTAGCTGAGATTTTAGGCATGCACTACTATACCTGGCTAATTTTTTGCATTTTTAGTAGAGATGAGGTTTAACCATGTTGGCCCGGCTGGTCTCGAACTGCTGACCTCAAGTGATCCACCCGCCTCAGCTTCCCAAAGTGCTTGGATTACAGGCGTGGACCACCGCGCCCAGCCTATTAAACATTTTGATATGCAAACTTCATGATCTAGTGCTGTAAACAGCAGGAGATCCAGCTGCTATAGCACAAACACTCAGACCAGTGTGAAAGAATTATGTTCAAGGTTGTTCACTGCATAATGTAAGAGTGAAAAATGGGAAATATGAAAGCTTCATTCATTATACTCAAA